GAGAAGCGCAACACCCTGGACGTGGGCGAGGTGCTCAGCAAGAACGACGCGCTCTCGGACCTGGAGCGCTGGGAGCGCAGCAAGAGCAAGAACCGCACGCTGGACAACAGCGACCTGCAGCGGCTGGAGCGCGCGCGGGCGGCGGCCGCGGGCCCTGGCGGCGCCTCGGAGCACCGGCTGCTGCGCTTCTTCAGCGGCATCTTCGCGCGCAGGGATGGCGGCGCGCCCGGCGGTCCCTCTCCCCGGAGCGGCGCCTCGCGGTCCCGCGGCTACTTCAGCCTGCGCAGGGCCCCAGCCGACGCGCACTCGTCCAGCGCCGAGAGCATCGACGGGTCCCCGCGCAGAGGTGGGCAGCGCGGCCGGGGAGGTGAGGGCAGTGGTGGGAACTGGCCTGGCTCCGCAGCGGCCTGCTCAGAGGACGCTGGGACTCGGGAGCGGCTAAGGGAGCCGCCGTCTCTGGCCGCCAGCCGGCGGGCGGCCACGCCGGGTGGGAGCTCGCGCGCTGCGGGGTTTTCCCCGGTAACGCTGCTGCGGTCGGGAAGATCTTGGCTTCCCCTGCCTCCGGCCGTGTCTGGTGGTGCCTTTCAGGGTCTGTGTCCTCCTGGGGAGAGATCACCTCGCCAGGCGGTGTGTTTCTAGGGCAGGCGCTGGCACCGCCTTCTTTAAGCGGGGCCGTGAGCTCCGTGGGCTCCCTGGCTGTGGTACCTGTGGGCTGCCTGGGACTTGGCCTGGAAGCAGCCGCACAGGTGGTGCGCCCGGCCTCCGGCAGCCGCATTCCTCTTGGTTAATTTTTTCCTCCACCCTCAAGCCTAGTCTCCCTGTAGGCGCTACAGTCTGTGAGTGCGGGTGGTGTGGCCCCCACTGATTGGACGGCGCTCACCTATTGCGATACCGGTGAAGATTGTTCACCCCGGCGGTCAGGGATACAGGCCTCTCCCCACAGCCTCTGGTGTTTTAGCGGGAGAGCGAGTCTGGGATAGGATTCCGTTTGCTAGTAATGTATTCTATGCGGGTAGGATAATCACAGCCCGGCAACCTGTTCTGAAATTTCATGCTCCCTTTCGCCTTAGGCCCTCCAACAGGGGCCTCGCAGGGAAGGTTTTGAAGGCAGATGTGACAATACTCTCTTGGAAAAATTAGGTAAGCTTGATGGCATCTGGGAGTCAGAATCGTCCAGAAGTCGCAACACACAGATCTCCTTCTCTCCACGTGCGCAGGGGTCAAACACCCTGAAGGGAAGAGGCTGGGGGTGGGTGGAGGGGCTGGGTTGTTAACCCCCTGCTGATGTTGGGGGTGGAGGGGAGACTTAAAGGTATGGTCCCCATGCATTGCGCCGCGGAGAAATCCATGTGCTGATCACCTAACCCTGCTGTTGGTGGAGATGAGGGGTAGTTGAGACCCTGCGGTGTGTGCTTTTAATTAGAGGTTTTCAGCTGGTAACTCACCGCCCCTGGAGTGCGGAGTCCTCCCCGGCGGACCTCATGAGGCAGCTGGCTGCCCAGGGTCTGTCTCAAAACCACCAGCACAGAGAAATCACTGACCTCGCTGAACTAGTTTGAAGGTAAACTGGAGCTAAACCTTGTCACGTTCTAATGTGCTTCTAATGATTCTCGGAAAGTGTTAGAGAATATTTGAAATTAAGCACTTGAGCCTGCAGTAAATTCTGATTTTTTTTTTTTTAAAAGGTGAGGCCGTAATACAAAGTCACTTCTTGCAGGCTTTCTCTAGTTTAACTTGCTGCCCGTACCTTGTGGCGGAACGTGCCTTGGGATATTGGAGAAGGGGCTGTGTTCGACTCCAGCCATTACCCACCCCTCCCTGGATGCTCTTGAGATACTCAGAAATGATGGGCGTTACTTTGTTGAAGTCGGTTTGTGTAAAGTTGCTCCTGCGGTCGTTTGCGTTCCTTGGGTGGAAGTTCAAATCCACAGGACCACAGGCCTACGATAGCAGGCCTGCGTCTTTGCTCTGGGTTTGGCGAAAATAGGGATTAGCTGCCTGGGTTCCGGACAAGCACCCGTGGAGGGGAGGGAGGGCACACGCACGGTTTAGAAAGAATGCGTTTCTTCGTGGTCCCTAGCGATACAAGTTAGAAGTATTGGGGTTTGGGTATTTGGGCACCGGTCAGGTGGATTGATAATAGATTTGGAAAGTCGAGGCGTAAGGCGTGTTGGAATTTTTCCCTCTAGGGCGGCGTAAGATTATAACAGTAATAATTAGAGTAACCCTCGCTTTGTTTGTTTCTTGTGGCCAACCCCTCTCGGTGGAATTGCTTTGGTCTGAGACGTAACATTAGCTAGCATTGTGGGTTGAGTAGAAAAACTGAAGGTCTCTGAGCTGGGTTATGGCACACACAGTTTGAATTCCAGGATCTCACTTTATTCTGAAGTTCTAGGTAATCACACAAAAAAAGGCCACGTCCCTCACCTGCCTTTGGCTGAAAGGCCTGAAGTGTCCCTGTTCTTGGGGTTATTTATTGTAAAGTCGGCGTCTGTCACAGGTTAAGATGCAGTCCCCAAGCTTTCAGGCCTTTTCATGTTGTTCCACTTTCCTACTTTTTGTAGGTTTGCTTCCTCTGATACACAGTGTTCAGATTCAGGTGCTGTTGAAGTGAAGCTCTGAATTCAAGGTAAAATACCGTAAGGTAACGTTCAGACACAGCAGAACCCGGGCTCACTTTCCCCGTGAACGTCCATAGGGCAGAAGTCCACAAAGTACAAAGTCTTGCCTAAACCAGGTGTGGACAGGTGGGTTTACAAGACCTAGAGAAGTTTGCTTTTAGGAAGGTGAGGTGCTGTGTGTTACAGAACGTAGCCAAGTGTGCGGTACTCCCATTCGGAATGAGAAATAGTTTTGCCATTGAGAGTCTGCGAAACGTTGCAGCCCCTTTCTGATTTCAGCACTGCGGCTAAACCGTCGTGGAACCGAAATGCAGCATACAGAACGAACAGCGCCTCTAGCTTTCTTTAAGTCTTGGCCACACGGTACTACACTTTGAAGTTCTTGGGGTGGCCCGGTGAGTTGAGCTTCTGACTCTCGATCTCGGCTCAGGTCATAATCTCACGGTTCGTGGGCCCCAGCCCTGCGTCGGGCTTTGCGCTGACAGCACGGAGCCTGCTTGGGATTCTCTCTCTCTCCCCCTGTCCCCCCCTCTCTCAAGATAAATAAATAAACATGAAAAAAAAATTCGAAGTTCTTTCAAGTCTAAGGGGAATTGGAGGACATTTGTCACCGGGGACAGGTTCTCCTTTTGTTGGACTCTTTTTCAGCCCTTGTGAATTGGCCACGGGGGAAAAAAACTTTAAGAGACAAAGTAACTGTTACATTAAATAGTTTACGTGACTTCTTGGAATTACAAGCTTCATCTTAGACGAGGTACCTATATGCCAGTAGTAGGGAAGGAAGAGGGTTAATCTTATTTTAAAACACAGGTTCACACATCACGTGCATGTGGTTTTTCTGTATGTTTTAAAAAATTTTTACATTAGAGAAAGAGCAGAGGAGAGGAGCAGAAAAGGGGAAGAGAGAGGGAGGGAGTGGGGGGAGAGACAGATTCTTGAGCGGGCTCCCTGCTGAACACAACCTGGTATCATGACGTGAGCCGAAATCAAGAGTTGGACGCTCAACCTCCTGAGCCACCCAGGCGCCTCTCTCTCCCCTGTATTCTTCAGGCTTTAGGGTGAAAGGATGGGAGCACCCACCTTTGTAGGGTGACTTTCTTGTACTTCTTCATCCCCGTCATGCTCACCTGTTTAGGCTTTTCCTCTTCCTCGTTACACATCCGCCTCCCAGAGACCCCTGGCAGGCTTCTCTGTCAGGTTCATTATCATCTGGAGCCCTAGAACGTTTCAGAGGGGCTCTGTGTCAGATCAAGGGCAGTTTCCTATTACCTGATGCACATGTACCGGGGCAGAGTCTGTTGACACAAGTATAATTTAATGCAAAAAGAGATCAAATAATAAATGATGAATTACCCTGTAGGGCGTCCCCTCCCACTGCGTGCTCTCTGCACCCCTCCTGTTTGCCAGGGCGGCAGGTGTCTGTAGGGTGTTCTGATGCTGTCCAGGAGGATTGATTACCACAATAAAGTGATTCATTGATAGCCCGGACTGAGGTTAGTTAGCTTTTCAAATTAGTAATTTGCAGCTGATGTGACAGCACATTTTTAGGAGTGGCTTCGTTCTTTAATTTCTGCCTCCCCCGATTTGTACCTTTCAGCTTGCGCAGCTTGATGGACTGTCTTATGGTTAAAAATAAATAAATAAATAAATAAAATAAAATAAATTGAAGCACAACACCTTTGTGGAGAAAGAGAGGAGGCAGCAATTAAGTGAAATAAAATTGCTGGAAAAACTTGGTACCTTTTTATTTGTTAACTTGCTCTGTTATTGGGAAGGGCGTGCATGGTTTTAAAGAAACAGCATAATTCAGTGTCTCATGCGAAGCATTTAAAACGAATTAGGTGCTCCGTATTTGGGAGATTGCATGCTTTTTATAAATGACTCTAGAGAGTAATTTAGGAAAACCTTCGTTGTTCTTGTCGTGAGGTCGGATTGCTTTCCTGGAGAACAGAGCAGCCCCTAAAGGTCAGCCAGGGACGCCCTAAGCAGGCACCGGAGGCTCGGACTGTGTCTTGATGCGTTAATTTTCTCCACGTGGAGCCCGTCGTATCGGCATAGTCACCTGTTGGCGCCAGCCGGGAAGATCGTGCCGGCAAAGGCCCGTTCAGAAGCCCACCTGCCAAGGACATTTTCCGGTGTCACGTCAGCCCATTGCAGCAATCTGGCTGGTCATACAGTTCACAGACCGAGGACTCAGCTATGAGGCAGTGGTAGTGCTTAACCCTTTTGTTAGTTGCTTGTTTTCCTGTTGCATCAACAAATATCTGTTGCGTTTCCGTGGCATGTTCCGAGCGGGAGCAGAGGGCTAGAGCTCCTGTCTTCAGAGGCCCGACAGCCTGCTGGGGGAGGGAGAGGTTCCTATGAAGCTTCACGGGATACTTAGGGGAAGACTCGACTGCATTTCTCTGCACCACATTCCTCCGTTAGAGCACTACTAATCCCAGCGTATGATAATAACCTCGTCCGCATACCTGCCAATTCTGACCGTGAGCCCCTCCTGGGCAGGAAAGGAAGCCTGTGTTCTTCCTGTCTGTACGGCAGAGTTAAGGGTACTATGGTTCCACTTGGGCTCTTACTAAGCGTTTGTGGCAGGAATTAATGAAAGGGCTGGCGGAAAGAAAAAAGGGAGCAAGGGTCTGTGAGCAAGAGAAGGAGTTATTAGTGAAGACCTCACCGAGGGGTAAAAGGATTTGGGTCTTGTCGGATCACTAGGAGTTGAGCAACTGGAAACGAGGAGTTTCTCCGT